TCATCTGTATGAAAAAAGTATAGAAAGAGTACATAATCTAAACCTTAGTACAGAAAGGTGTACTAATTTTGTACTTTTTAAACTTATAGTTTGCTGTTTTGATAATGTGCTGATCCATTTCTTTTTTCCTTTACTCATTTATGCCAGTTGTGTTCTTTCTTCTTCGCAAAACTTGGTGCAGGAAATTCTGCATGGAAAAGTTAAGTGGGTAAAATTGGGTGCTGTTATCACTCCGGAAGAGGCATAAACTATCCATTACAGGTTGATGTATAAGAAGGATAATGTGCTTGCAGTAAAAAAGTACAAAAGGAGTAGGTAAAATATTTAGCAACTCACTTTGAAATTTCTTTAATGGTAAAAGGGAAAATGAAATTAATACCGTTGCTGGTTGTTGAGATCTTCCTTAACGAAAATATTTTTATATTAATTTAAAACTGTTGATATATTGTTTTTATGTGCTATTTTATCCGTTTCATAATCGATATTTTAAGCTTGACTTATGGCTTATAATGTTCAGTTTTTTTTCATATTCGACGGTAAAATTTTTGTCTGAAATTAAGCTGGATAGCTTATGCAGGTACGGTTATACGGCTACAGTCGGGTCAGTTGAAAAGGGTTGAAGAAATGAGCACAGAAGACTTTGTTCTATCTGCAGCGATGCAAACGGATCTCGTACTTTGCAACAGTAGGGTCATTCGAATTCAGGAGATAGAAAAAGATCGTCAGGTTCTCGTTACTTTTGCTGTTGGCGAGGAAAGAATATTGGTGCGATTTTCTAAAAATTTCTATTAAAAGTATTAAAGAACAATTTGTCATGGCATTAGTTTCTACGAGAGTGACTGATAACACAATCACCGAATGACTGACAGTTTGAACTTCTTTTAGAAATACAGTTATTTACAACATAGAGTTTTTCCATTGCCAGGAGAAGTAGTTTCACTGAATGACCAAACAGTCTCAATGATTTCACTTTCTTAAGACAGATAGTTAATGTTTATTTCGATGTCATCTATGGACGGATGTTTCAGGATTTGGTTCAGATCTGGGTTATTAAATCCGCCCATTTGAAGGTGAAAAAGTTATCTGCAAAGAAAGTGATTTTACCCACCTTCAGATGTCGTAATTATTGCTTCTTAGGTCAAATGATAATTTACTTGTCATATTTTCTGAAGATGTATTTACCTTAAAATTGATTGGCAGAATAAAAACGGGTTTGAATTTTATGGAGGTGCGTTTTATGGCGCGGAACAATATTAAATGGCTTTTTCTTGGAAATAGATTTTTGAAAAAATATCAAGTTTACTGAAAAACTTCAACTGATTAAAATGATATCCTTTATCCCCGAAATGTAGGAAATGAACGTTTGCCATTCTTTTATTGAACATTCACTTTTTTATTTCACGCTGTGAGTTTTTTTGACGGCTTTCAGATTGGTTAGCTGATGTGTTACACAGTTGAAGGTCGTAAGTAGTCTGCTTCCCGCGTATGCCATTAAACACCGAGTTCTTAATATTATCATTTTTTTTAGAAATTTAATCTTGGTGTGGATGACGTCGGGAATATTTCTTAAGGGATACATTTAAAAATTACTTTTCAAAATCTGTGGGATTTTTTGCGCCATGAATTGCTCTTCTATGATGGCATCCCAATTTTGCACAAATAGCTTTGCTGTTTTTCATTGCTGTCCAAAAACCATTTTTCCATTTTGAGGTAACAGTTCAACCCGTAAATCAATGAAAGTAAGACACATTCTTTTATCTTTAGGTAACAATAGAGGCGGGAATCGAGCATCCCTATTTTGTGGTTGACCAAGGTTGGGCATCATGTAGCCCAGAAAGAACACGTGTCACATATGGATTAATTTGCAGACAACTGAATGTAAGTTTTTATGTAATGAATGCGTATTAAGAATGGGAAGTAATCGAAAGATTGATATGATACTTTTTACTAGTAAATATTGTGTTTGGTCACTGTGCACTCTCTAATTCCTTAATTCAAAATGTTTTGACATCAAACTCAATCAGAAAGGAAGTGCTGACGCTTATGTTTGAACGTACTTTGATGCAATTATATGAAGATATCCATTAATGTGTTTTAAGTGACAGATGCTAACTAAAACTTTTGAATAGCTAATCTTGCGCTTTTTTCCGCTATTTTCCTGCTTTGGTGAACATGATATTTTTATGCATATGCATGGAAAGGGTCAGTACAGTGAAAATTGAAAACTTGTTCAATCATGCCATCAAAACAAATTTTACAGATTGGTGATGTTTGTATAGCGTTACGTCATATCGAAGGTGGTGAAACAAGCGGAACAAGTGGCAGGGGTACGATTCGTTCTCATAGTGGCACAAGAGGAGGACCAATGCCGGGTACATCTGGCATACAGCAATTTTCTCGACCTACACCGTTAATACAAGCGCCTCGTCGGCGTCCACCACCTGTTATTCGTACTGAAAGAAGGCCTGGTGTTCGATCTGCACCATCGCATGAAATGCCGACCGAAGAGCTAGCATTGCTTGAAATACGTCGTCGTTTAAGGCGACGTAGGCATAAATCAGCGCTATGATAGGTTGGTTTGTACAATTTCAACTTTTAGTTTTAAAATTAGATTTGATGTAATTGATCAAAAAAATTTTATTCAATAGGTGCATTTTCTTCGAATTCTTAGATGACTTAAGAAAATTCAGAATTTATTTTGCTAACTTAATTCAGTATTTGACTTGAATCTCTCCAAAACGACCTCACATAAATTACGAGTTTGAAAATCTTGATCTCATCATTTTTCCTGATCAGAATAGTAGGTTGCCGCAAAAGTAATTGCACTTTCGGACCGTATCTACATAAGGATCATGACAGTCAATACATTTTTACAACGAGAAAGAGACATAAAATGAAATAAGCATAAAAAACATTGAGACATAAAATCCATAAAGCACGGAACCTGATACCGATTACTACGCTCCTCATCTTCAACATTTCGCTTACCTCGCAAAATTTCTTGAACCACCGCTGCATTATACATGCACAAGCAGTTCTAGGACTAAGCACGCTACTAACATTGCGAATTTGAAAATCTCAAGTTATCGAAATTCAGAATTGACATTAGCTTGCATCTCTCGAATTTCAAATTCGATATTTTGAACTCAAGTAAAATCCCTTGAATTAACTTTTTATCTAAATCATTTCTTTGGTTTTAAGTACATATGCAGGAATCAGTCACCGACAGAGAATAAAGCAAGGAATGAGTATTAAAGGGTTATTAAATATAGACACATTTATTTAAGAATATGTTCCAATAAAAAGAAAAAGAAATAGCAAAATTTAACAATACAAAAGACCGAACGAATTCGTTTTTTAACTGTTACTTTTAATGTATTTTTTTTGAGAAACTCAAGTTTTATTTTCCATTTTACCATTAGTTCAAATTGACACAAAACTTGCTTTCAGAGGAAATAAATAGGGTAGAAAAAATTCCATTTTACTATACGAAAAGATAAAATATGTGTATTTATTCATATTTATAATATTATTAAAAAACAAACAAATTTCTAGAAAGGTCAGCATTTTAACAAATGAATATATGGGATTTATTTTGCAGTCTTTCTATTACATCGTTTGCCTTGAAATCAGTTGCTGTAGTGCGAGATTAAAGATCGAATGGTCGCTGGTTAACTGCTCCTAGTTTTACAGAGGAATTCTGGAATTCTTGAAACACTTTTGTTGTGGCAAATAATAAAAAAGGGTATTATTTATTATTGATGCTCTACCGCTCTTACCACTTTATCTTCTCTGCTGTTGTTTAGAAACAATGCATATATTGTGCATAGCATTTTTGTACTATTACTGATTGGTTGTCGATAATATTGGTCAATGTATCATTAAACTTTCCTTTCATCTCTTTTTATTCTTCGTTCATCTCTGTTAATCATCATATTCCTTTTTGTCTTGTTTAGTCTTGCCTAGATTAGAAATTTCACTAGTAGATTAGGACTAGTAGATTATCTTCTTTATGAACCAGTTTTTCTCTTTTCAGCTAAATATTTGTGATGACATTGTGACAGCGATTTAAAAAATTTGCTTTGAGAATGTTCTGGATACTTGTATTATCGGGAAAGAATTTTATTCTAAAAGAAATCGACTCCAAACAAAAACTGATTGGAGAAATATTGGTTGTTCCAGATTTTTTGAACGGAAATGGATAATTGTTCATGGTGAAATTATTGAGTGTAGTACCCCATTACTGCATGCGAAAATTTGTGGGTGGGTAGTAACAAAAATTTCAACATCTTTGTATAAACTAGATATACTCCTCATTTATTACAATGTTCTAAAAAATCTACAAGAAAAGGAAACTGGCTTACTTGTCGAATCCATTCTGTCTTTCATCACTTTTTGAGCAGTTTTCGAAAATACCGAATGGTATTGCATTTCAAGGAAATAGCTTCTCAGAAAATAATAGCCTTATCATGTTTTTTTTTTTTTTTTTTTTTGGGTAGTGTATTTATCCGGATTTGCAGTTTATTCGTCTTCAGGGAATTAAAGATAAAAAGCAACACTCTATCATTTTGCTTTCATCGAACAGCCTGAGTGTTGTATTTGTTTTTTCGAGGATTTTACCATTTGTTTAGGTTTTTCAAAATTTCGTGTCAGGTTACTTTTTTGCGTCTTTTTTTAATAGGAGAAATATGCTAACGCACGAACCTGAAATAGGAGGAGAAAATTTAGGAAGATTTTTGAAACACTAGATTCCTGTGAGAGAAGTTTGGGAAAAATCTATTTTCATTTTCGTACAAAGGCGATATTTCCACAGTTAGAATTATTAGATCTGTTTAGTTGCTGCCTTTTTTGTTGTTATTTTTCGTGTTCTCCAATATATGTAATTTATGTTGTACACGTAGATTGTCTTGAGAGAGAGTATGTGTATGTTTTAGATTCTTTCGGCGTTCACTTATGAGGAAAATTTCGTGAAATTGATCATTTTGGGTTTAGCTATATCACTGCCTGTATTATAGATGTTGCAGAAGAATAAAATAGGTGAGGACATAGAGAAGTAAAAGATTTTGAAAGTGCTTAAATCAGAGAAAGCATCAGAAAGTAAAATTAGTGCATAACATTTTATTGACAGCTACGATTCGTCTCATAGTTAAGGTTTTATAAAAATAAAAACTCAGGATGGTTAATCTTCTCATTTTTCAGCACTTTAAAATTTAACTGTGAAGAAATAAAAGTGCATAATTCGAACATTTGGATCAAGCAGTGATTGATTTTTCAAGTTGCAAGTAGCAAATATGGTAGAAGGATTCTCTTGCAACTTGTACTGATTTATTTGTATCGATTTATTTCTGCCAATAATATAACTAGCGGGTTACTTAGCGTAAATGGTTAAAAGGCAGTTGGTATTGTATGCCTTTTCAAGGCATACTGTACTCAATTTTCGAACAGTTTTGGTATTTTAATGCCAGTGTAATTTCTGTTAGAATTCGTTCTTTACGTTGTTCTCTTCACCAGTTGAACTTCATTTGTGATTTTTTTTTCTTTTTTGCAGTTGATAGTAGCAGGTAGTACTATCATTTATCAAAATATTAATATTGTTGTTGTAGTAGGAGAAAATATTATTTGTCTAATATAGTTGTCTTTTTTTTCAGCAACAGTAGGAAAAAGTGGTATTTATGAAAAATTTTCTGTCTTTTGTCGATCTTTTGCTATAGCACTCACTATAGGTATACATGTTTGTATGTATTATTGTGTTTATTATTAATTTCCTGTGTATTATTAATTCCCATCTCGAATGTGATTTTCAGGGGTTCCTTTTCATTTTTCGATTTTGTGTATATTTTTTGTGATTTTTTAATATAATTTTGGTTTTTTTTCTTTTTTTTCTTTTTTTTGTCGAATAAAACCAGGGCTCTAATTATACTGTCTTTTCAGTATAATTTTTCTTCATCTTATTTGAACGACATATTTTGTACATTCATTACACATGTCAAATATGCTGTATGCAGGTGTATATTGAAAATTAATTAATCATCTATCTATCTATATATATATATATACCATTAATTATATATATATATATATATATATATATTTACTATTAATTAATTGATTAGTAAGATGATAATTTCATATCGGGTTGAGTAATTGATTAACTTTTGCTCGATCAGTTTATTAATCGCTGGTTCCACAGGAATACGGAAAGGTTTGTATAGGTAACAAGATTATGTGTTACATTTGCCGCATCTGCCAATGCTTTCACCGGTATTACTCTTGTATTTCCATCATTTTCCTCTATTTTTCTCTTCATCTTTCCACTTTCTTTTCATTTCATTTTCCCGTAAAAATGTTAGTTTTCCTGAAATGCGAATCTTTTCAGATTGGTGAAATATAACTTTTCCACTAATTATTATTCGCTGTGATAATTTGCCATTTCTACACGTTTATTTCATTTTGTTTCCCCATCATTTTTTCTTTCTTTCTGTTCATGCAAAAAAAAAAGTTCATATTTTATCAGAAATTCCCTTGTTAGCTTCTTTCCTCCTTTGCTCCACCCTATCTCTCCTTTAATCTGTGTATTTAAGTTTCTTTTTCAACGTGGTTTTATTATGTATATCAGGGAAAATTTAGATTACTTAGAGTGGAATTTTCTGATTAAAGAAATTCATTATGATCCTTACATTTTTTTCTTCCAAAACAGATACATGCCTATGTTTGTATAGAATGGTGCACACAGATAAAACATATATATCATACAAACCTGTGAACAACAAATGCGAAATATGAACTCAATATGCCTACTTTTGGTTCGTATGACACTAACATAATTGCGCTAAACTTGACATTTAGAATCGTAGTGTTTACATTGTGGTTATGTTCTTGTGACAATAATATCTATGTTGTTAAAATATAAAAAGCATTTGTCTTAAAATTACCACGATTCTTTGTTTTACCTCATTTTCATTAACTTTATACTTTGTACTTTTGTAGAATTTTTTTCCATTTTATGGATCACTTCCTTGCTTCTTTTTCTAGGAAAACGGTCCCGAAAAAGTTTAAATAGGATTTTTTTTCCAAAAGTGGAGAAAAATTCCAGTTCTTACCATAAATAATAAAGTATGAAATTACTAAAAAAATCCATATGAATGCTAATGTCAAATCAAAAATGGAAAATTAATTTATGGATTTTCAGAATCAAAAATTAATTTTTCGATGATTACAGTAAAACAGGAGTAGTACGATTTTTACAGTAATTATTATCGGGAAGCCAATCGCATGTTGTTTTTTCCACATTCCAGTATAATTTAGCCGGACAGGATTTGGAAATCCATTTTCCATGAGCGCATTGGTAAAATTTGTGACAGTCATTTGAGTCTGCCCTATAACCATTAGGACCACCGCTTTCCTGAAATCAGTTTATAATTTGAGAGCAATCTATTTTTTTCAACATTGTTAGACGTAAGTAACACAAAATATCTGATTGTTCGAACCTTGCAAGTTTCATGTTTCGTATCATCAATAGCATGATCTTTTTCACATCTTCTATTGCTATGAATGTAGACTTGACCGTATGGACAGTAACGTAATTCAAATTTGCCATTATTGCAAATCCAGTAAGCAATACGGTTTTGTTCATCGACTTTGATATTATTTCCCGCACAATTTCCTTCTACTATGCAGGTTGTATCACGTACACAATAACCACGCTTAATAATTGATAAGAAATTGAAATTTGAAAAAAAATTATGATTGGATGAGACTATTTACATTTAAATAAAGAGTCTATGCATAAAATGGATGATTAATGAAACCTTTTCATCAAATGTCGCACCATTCCAGCAAAATTGTTCTTGAAATCGACCTTGTCTACATATGAAATAACGATTACAATTGGTATTATCAGGTAGAACATTTCCATCTGTACACGATGATGATAGGAATGATAGTGTAGGAGGAATTGCTGAAAAACTTATTCATTCAATCTTTTAATTTTTATCAATGCAATATAACAATTGATAATGAGTTTGATTCAAAATTAATTTTAGGATTTCCGGAAATGTTAAATAAGACATTTCAAAGAAAGCAATTACTTTTTTAAAAAGATTAAGATTTTGCAAAATAAATGAATTGTTAAGAGCAAATTTTCATATCATGATAATTAATTGCCTATCAATTAATTAATTGGCTCTCTTAAAGCATATATAATGATACTATCTCCAATGACATTAATGTATTTATGGTTGGGGTTAGTGATAGAAATACATTAAAATATACATTTATCATGCAGTAATGAACAATGGTTGTAGACTAAAGAAGAGGAATGAATAAATTTCATAATAAAAAATGGAAAATTAAAAAAAGAAAACTTATACGGACTATTGCTATTATTGTCACAATATAATGATATTTGACAATATCCGTTGACAAATTGTCGATTATTATCACAAACTCTTTTATGCCATGTACCATTAAGACAAATTTGATAATGACCACAAATTTCATTTCCAATTATTCGTCCATTACGACAATGTGATAAATCACAATGATATCTACAAGTATCACAAAAAGATTCATTCTTATTTTTTTTTCCGAATCCAGTCTGAATTTTAATTACTCAATTTAAAATTTTATTCACTCAATTTAATTTTAATCACTCATTTTCTTTAAAATTTTCAGTTTATGAAAAAAAACGAGCTATATCATTTTTAAATGAATATCTTACTGATAAATGATAACAATTTGAGATCAAATTTCTCACTCTTTCTCGCATTTCCCACTTTGATCATTGAATTCATGATTATTTTTACAATATCGATCTTTGTATTCACCCGCTGTACATTCAAAATATCGATTGCAGTCATATTCATTACGAATAGTATTGCCAAATTGACATGACTACATTTGCATTCTTATCATTTAACGAGAAACAAGAATTAAGAAATTATAAATTATGAATTACTAATTTTATTATGAGTAGTTAATTTTTTAATTATTTCACTATATATATATATATATATATATATATAT